TTTTTTATTCCCTTGTAGTTTTTATTTTTAATTTTACTCATATGTTTTGTTTTTCTTCAGCTCTTACATCATGTATTTTATTTAATGTTTTGTGGCATTTTTTGTGCTTTTATACTGAAATTCTCTCTGTTTTTTTTCCCTTCCTGTTTATTTCTCTTTGCCCTGACTGGCTCCTTGTTATCAAATTGTCTCCCTGAGTTGTCTGTCAAAGCATTTTGCAAATTTCTGTCTTCTAAAGGTGCTGTAGAAATAACTAATTATTAAAGTTACTATTAATTCTTGAAGCCAGAACCTGACATGTTCTGCTGCGTCCGCCGACAGCTCAGTAAAGGTTATTCAAACAAGATGGCCGACGCTGCACAGCTCGCTCTGATGCTTCATTATAAACCTGTTGCACGTGTCTTAACGGACTTTTTCATTTCTATTGTATAGTCGGCAGTAAACAGCTTATTTAGGGCCTTTAATGTTCCTTGAAGAATTAAAGGAAAAAAAAGAAGTTCTGAACATTTATTTTTGGAAGACAAGCCGTTTTCTAAAACGTTCCTTCTACATTCCTTTTTTTCCTGCTGCAGTAAAAATGCATCAAACTCTGCTCACAGAAAAGAGTCCGTAGATAAAATCACTCGGTTTCAAGTTGAGCAAATCTGACATTTTGTTTGAACGTTTTCAAGATAATTGTTGGTCACAGCTGTCTAATGATCAGCAGATGCAGAGTTTAGCGTGTGGCCAGTTTAAAGGAGTGATATTAGTCAACCTTTAGAAAGGGACTGGTGACCACATTTACATGTTTCATGATAAAATACTTAAAGTCTGAAGTCTATCCATCTTTGCATCGGTGCAAAACGAAGGTATGCAAATTAAGACGACCGTTCAACAGCATGCGAGGTTGATTAACACCAAGAAAGAAGAGGGGAGGCCCCAGTGAAACCAGTGAATGATTCAGTCTGGAGCCCAGTTAAAGGATTCAGACCTAGGAGGAGACCAGCAGCAGTGACGTGGCGACTAGAGAGCATTAAATCAGCAACATAACGAATAAAGTTGGGAAAAGTAAAAGGTGGCGGGAACCGAGTTAAACTAAACTCAACTTTGACGAGATCCAATCGAAGCGACGACCAATGGGAGGATACCGTTGATTGACACCATCGTTAAGTTCCCCGGCAACAAGGAAACGACATCCACGACTTTCTATCAGACTCAACGAGCAGCTCATCGTCCTCCAACGAACCGAACGCCGAACACGACCCAATAACGCTCTGATTCTGACTCTGAAAGAAACCGAACGTTCGTCTCCGTTGAAGCGTCGACTCGATTCGAAACATTCAGGGTTTGAAATATACAACAGGGTTACCATGGCAACTTGACAGGAAATCAATAATACGTTGAACGGGATCAAGAAAAAAATTAAAGGAACGAATGATTTTAGTCGCTGTTGACGCCAAAAAAACAAAGAAAAGCACGAATGACGCTCATCTGAATTCACTTCAACATGAACAGGTGACGACTTCCTATCAGATCCAATGTTCAGCATTATTCCAATTATTCTTATTTTATTGAACCAGCTCCTGATAAAAAAATAAATGAATTTCAAAACGCTCTACTTCCACCAACAGCTCCGTCTGACCAGTGCCACGTCACAAACAACGTCTACGAAGGAGGTCTGGTGGATTTAAGGCACGTTTCTTTGGCTTGAAATGGACCAAAAAAGCTGAAAACGTCCTCCAGCTGGTAGATTTTACACCAGAAATGTTTTGTGCAACTAACTACTGGTAATTTTGAGGCAAAATATTAAAGAAACAGACAATAAACACCAAAGAATTAAGTGTTAAAAACGTCTCTTTCAATCAAATATGTCAAATGTGACGTTAAAAAAGACATTTTAGCGAGATTTCATGTTGGAGTTTGTGCTTTTCCACACTTTTACTCCAACATTTTGTTTCCTACTGTCACATATCGGTCTCCTTTCTACTAAAAACTGCTATTGAACCTTAAAACAACCACATCAGTCGAGTTCTGCTGTTAAATATGAGTCTTAAACCTGCTGTCAAAGCGAGCAGCCGAAGACGTGTCGACGTGAGCAGCAGCTGCCACCAGCGTGTGAAACCACAGACATGAGATCTGGTGGATCTGCTGCACATTTCTTCACTAATTAAACTCAAAATGAACGTAAAAGATCTTAAAACCGCCTCCAGCAGGTAGATTTCACTTTGGAAATGTCAGATTTGTGCATTAGTTTGAAAACAAATTGAGGATTTGATCATGAGCTTTAACCGACCTGGACCTCTCCACTGCGACGCCTCCTCCTCTTCCTCTCCGTCCTCCTCCTCCTCGCCGCCGCTGTGGGTCGGCGGTGGCTCCTCCCCGTCGCCATCTTCATCCTCCGGACCTCCTCCTCCTCCTCCTCCTCCTGAGTCCTGCGTCCTCGGTTCTGCACAAAACGACACAACAGAGTCGCATTTACAACAAACCAGCAGCGTCTCCAACCTGCTCCCATCTAATAATTAAAATTAATCTAATTTAAATAAACTGTTTAAGCTGCAAACGCTCACTTTGTTGGGTCGACGTATTTATGTTGCATCAACTTAAAATTGTGAGTAATTTAAACCCAAATTTCTGCATCAGTTGAGCAAACTTAATAAAACTGGCCTGATAACTTAAAGGATTCTAAATCACCTCCTTTATCGTAACATACCCGGATGATTTGAGACGGATAAGGCTGCTAATTAATGTTATTTTATTTGTAGAGAAAAAGCTCCTGAACTCCAGCGCTAGCATTAGCATTAGCTAGCTAGCAGCACCAAGAACGTATGCATTTGTTTGCATGTTCTTCGTTAGTCGTCTAAAAACGTGTGATGATTTTCTCAGACGTCCTTTAACGCGTCCCGCTTTGATAAGAAAGTGTTCAGTTCAGTCCATTTTATTACATTTTTTAATAATTATTCTGAAAGGTCAACGAAGAAACGTTTGTCAGACGCTAATAGAAAAACATTTAACAGAAGCGACGTGACGCTTCGGAGTAAACAACACGTTCATCTTTATCTTTTTTTTATGAAGAACACTGTTTTTTTCCCGTTTTGTTTTATCTTCATGATTACATTTCCTTGTTTTTCAGAGCTCAGGAATACATTTAGAGGAACCGACTTTAGCTGCTTTTTGTGGGTTTAAAATACACAAGGAATGGTGTTAACGAGCATTTATTGTTGTTTATTTATTATTTACGTCGACTGAAGGCCCCTGAAACAAATCAAAAACACATCATGTTAGACTCTGGATATCAGCAAACACTTGATTCAAGACTTTTATTTGTCACAAACACAATCATACACAGTGAAATGTATTTAACACCAGTTTCAGACCAAAGAAATAAGAAGAAGAATAAAGAATAAAAACACACAATAAATATATATGTGAATATAGAACTATGATAGGAAGGTTTTCAGTTCAGCACATTTCATTTTTTAAATGATTTTTAAAACGTATACATGAATATAGACAGAAATAAGAAAAATAAATGAATCAAAAAGTGCAAAACTGATTATTATTGTTGCTCATACGTCATATCATGATGAAACCTGTTATTTACAGCCTCTGCAGGTTGTTGTTTTCTGTAGTAATGTGGATTTTGAAGGCAGTAACACAAAGATAACACAAAATGAGCACAAACAAACAAATCCTCTGACTGAACGTAGTCCGTTGGTTGATCAGAACTTCAGTAGAAGTCGTCAGAACTTAAAAACACTGATGATCTGTGCTGTTGAGACCAAACAGTGGTTTTCTTCCGGCTGTACTTTTCATATATTTTCAGCAAACAACCAACATGTAGAGGGTTTAACTGATTTATTAGACCACCTGACTGATTGGTTAAGCGCTACACACATAGAGTAGAAACCAGATGTTTACATCCACTGTATAGAAAGACACAAAACCTTTTTCTTTCTCGCTATCTGACATTAAATCAGACTAAACGTTTCCTGTTTCAGGTCAGTTATAAACACCAACATTACTTATATTTGCTAAACGCCAAAATAATGAGAGAGAGAGAATTATTTATTACTTTCTTCAAAGTCAGAAATTTACATAGATGTCCTTAGTTTTTGGCAGCGTTGCCTTTAAACCGTATAAATTCACTTTTTTACACCCAAATCTGATCCACTGAGCTCCTCTGAGAAGTCACAAATTAATCGAGCATCACATTCAGCCACTAAACCTCCATGTTTCTGTTCAGGAAGGCAAATAAATAACTATAATCTTAAATCTAAATCAAAAATAATAATGTGCTTTAGTAATTTTGTCTTTTTTTTGGTAAAATTCAATGACAACAATATATTTTATCACTAAAAATATCATTTAGGTTAAAGATCTTCTACATGCTGGTGTATTAACTATTACAGAAACATTTAAATAAATGCTGTTAATTTAGGGAAGCTGTGGCATCAACCTCACACTGGTGGTGGTTTGATAAATATGTTAACCACTGTACATAGAAATAAACAAAACAGTGACACTAACAGATAAGGCTATTCATATTTATTATCCTTATAGTTCATCTTCAGCTTGATTTTCTACTGAATTAAGGTCTTTTCAGAGTAAATAAATGGTTCCCTAACTGTCAAACCTTATTATTTATCGTGTAAATGTGTGTCTGGTGGTTGTTTTTCTGTCGACGGTGGAACACAACCGGATCGTCTTCACCTCCGTCGTGTTTCTGGATCTTTCCGCTCCAGATTTCCATCCTCAGAGCGTCTCTCACACACTGAGCAGCAGAGCGTCTAATCAGCGCTGATATTCCCGCCATTGATCGAGCTGATTGGCCGCTGATCAAAGCCGCCGTGCACGTGGACGGACCTGCGTGAGCTTCAGTCTGAAGGCGTCCAGGCAGATATGTGAACCCTGAACTTTGGCTGAGCCGGGGCTGCTATCGGCGGCTGCATCGCGCTGCGGGTCCCTCCCTATTAGCGCCGACGATTAGCGAGATTAGATTAATAGTTGCATCAGAGCAGCAGATCTGACCCCAACATCTCCCGCTGTTGCGTCATCGGCAGGACAAGGGTGACTCTAAAACTGCCTGCATGGAACCACGCCGCGACCTTCCCACTTTTAGAGACGATTTGGCCGCAAGCACGACGACGCAGATCCATGAAACGGAGCGTTTGGAGCCCATACGTGAAGGTGAAGCGTCTTGTTGTTGGGCTGCGAGCTCCACCGGCGCCACCTTTACCTTTAAAAAGCTCTTATCTCGGTCATTACAGGAGCTAATTGTTGTGACGCGTCTCTTCCAGAACAGTCTCTGCTCACAAGATCTTCTATCAAACAATCACACTTGCATTTTCTTTTTTTTTTTTTAATGCCTTTAAATCAAAGAAAATTGCTTTTTGCACGCGTCTCGCCGTAGAACAGATCAGCAGCGGTACCTGTTTGTAAATGTGCGGAGGGCATCGTTTTTTTTATCTGCTAATATCAGAACCGTGATGGTGGGAAACTGTGCGACTTAGAAGCTTGAAGAAGAAAAAAAAAAACGTGTGGTTAGTACCCAACGGAAATAACTGTCGTCGCCGGAGTCACTCAAGTGTGAACGTACAGTGATTCCAGTGCAGACAGGTCGGCTCTGTGAGCTGCTCAACCGAGGTGATACTCGGACAAATAAATCAATTAAAGCCGTTATCGATCACCAGTGAAGTCACACAGTTTGTCTTCTAACAAGCAGCTGGTATAAAAACACCATCAGGCCGCGACAACGAGGAATAAACACGTTTCAGTCGAGCTATTAAGGCAACACACTGAGCTGAAGATAAAATAATTTCTTTTTAGACGGTTAAATATTAAGTTTAAGATCCACAATGTTATTTATCATGTTAAACCGCCCGACTAGGTTATAGATGTAGGTTAAGACTCGACTAAACTCTGTGCCGTATGACTCAACTCAACGAGCTCCAACCATGTTCGTTTTTAATTTCTGCTTTTATCAGATTTAGTTTTTAGAATCATTTTTTTCTTGCAGTGAGGAACATCTGGCATCTCCCAACGAGGGTTTAGCCATTAGACTCTCTTTTTAAGTCATAGGTAAGAAGAAACTAAAGATCTCTGAGGTTTAAACTGTCACTTCAGCAGGCATTTTACACCTTTTTCTAACATTTCAGAGCCAAAATTAAATAACAGTCAGCAGATTAATTGACAGAAGAATAAAGCCAAAGATGTTTCAGAGCAGCCTGCTTTCATTTTCAGATGTTTATGGTGTCGTCAGAGTTGCAACGATCAACGAAAATCTTTTAGCTTCTCAGATTTGATGCATTTTATGTCAAAGCAGACCGAATCTGTTCCAGTTTTCGAAGCATGTTGAGACAAAACAAGGCGTCACTTCGGGTTGTGGCGCCATTTTTCACAGTCGTCTTTCATTTTAGAGACGAAAATGAAAGGATGTAAGAACACAAGGCCTTGAGCCCCAGATTGATCACAGCTTTCTGTTTTGTTTTCAGGTTTACAAGGCGTTAGCTATGACTTCAGAGACAAAAATGAAAAGATGTCAGAAAAAAAAAAAACAGCCTTTATTGGCGGCCATAAACCCAGGATTGATCACAGCTTTCTGTTTTGTTTTCAGGTTCACATTTTCACATAACGGCTCAGAGTTTTAGAGGTTAAACGTCACTTTTCCAAACCAGCATGTTCCTGGTTGAATAGCAAATTGGCTGTCATACATCTATGGTACTGTTCAGTCAGTCAATAGAAAATTAATCGTTATTCTACATCCTAGCTTCTCAGATTTGTGGATTTTATGCCGTTTTATGCCAAAGGAGACTCAATCTGTTTGGGTTTTGGAAGGCTGGTGAGCAAACCGAGCCGTCGCTCCAGGACGTGGAGCCATTTCTTCTGTTTTCCATCATTTTACAGACAAAATTGAAAAAAACGTCCTGCAGATTAATCGATAATGAAAACCTAAAAGAATTCGGGGCCTGATTAAAACGCTCCTCCGTCGTCGTATCTGAAAGGCAGCTCATCCACTTTCTCCCCTCTGCGTCTGCTGTCCTTTGTCCGAACCCTCCCAACTTCTTCCTCCTCTCTCCCCTTCCCCAAATCCCGCCCCGTCTTCGGCCTCCACCCCGATAACGCCTCGGCCGGCTGCACAAAGGCCGTGTTTGCCCTCGCATTCCCGCTCCGATAAACAGCGATAGCGGCCGATCGATGCGGGCCATAAAAACCGCGGCGACCACGTGACGCCGGCGCACCATTATTACTACGATTATTAACGTCAGACGAAGCATCCAGCTTCACGTCACGTCCACCTTCTTCCACCAACATACTGTACACACTGACACACACCTCCTCCTCCCCTCCACCTCCCCCCCGCCGCCTAAACAGTGCCATTATTTTCAGCTATAAATCACATTGAATGGCACATTGATTTTATCCTGCAGGGCTGCAGCGAGGGAGGGG